TACATTATATTATATTCCGGGAGTTATACGTGCAAATCCGAAATCCGGGACCATACAGCTAATTCCCGGTACAATCACAGAAAATCCCGGTCATACCAATGTGGCTAGATGTTCTTTTAAAATGTCGTCAAGATCTACACTAAAATTTATGAGTCCACGAAACACATCAGGGTTGTCCGAATTTTCTGTCTCGTCGTGTCCGAGAAGTGCTAATTCGAAAGCTCCGCAAAATTTTATGCAATCTATGATTTTAAATAATACATGACGATTTTTCATTACCTGTTCATATGTTTCCGTATATTATCCCAATATGCAGAATCTAACTGACTTCTTATGTTTATTTTACCTAAAGACTTAATGACTTAAATCTTTCACACTGTATATTGTCCATGCTTTATCCCCACCGAAAAGTAAGCACGGAAAACAAAACAGTGAATATTTTAAATCACACCCGCACACCCACTCTGCTTTTGTGTATACATTATTGTTTTTTTATAACTTTTACTTCTTTTATTTTTAGTTTATCCTCATAAGGCAGAGAACCAAATAAAGTTTTTTTTTAAACGAAACGCTATTCATTTTAATAACTATAATATCCGTAGACGCCTAAACGAAAATATTCACACGTGCCGCTCGCAGAAATAAACCACCACATACCACGTACGAAATATTACTGCATTTACTGCAGACTGCAGCGCAGTGGCTGTCACTATTGCAGCCGCAAAAGCCCCTATCTCCGTGTACTGGGTCACGTGCCTGATCAGCCAATAAAAACAAAGGACGCATATAATTGTTCGCTGTCCACACATTGTGTATATGAGGTTGCATATATTAAGGAGCGTAGCTCGCGTCGCAATAAATAATAATATAAGCTCCTAGATTTATTTTAGCGCGAGTACATTTGGATTCTTTAAATATTTTGTTGATATTTAATATGATTAAATACATAAAATTTTATGTGTTCTGCAGCTCCGCAGCTCTTATGGTAAAACCGCCACTGCTGAAGTAATCTTAATGTTGTCAATGGAGTAGTGTTTCCGCGCACTCGACCGTTTCTATTCATATTCACGACCGTTTTTCACCTATTTCGCTGCATTTTATGGAAAAACGAAAATACATCTTTTGTTGCTGAGCCTGTCTAGTTTAAAATTCCTTTTTTTTACTTCAATCGGACAATTACAGGAGTATCCAACCCTCCGCTAAGAAATTGCAAACAAAATTCAAATGGCGATTGTGTAAAAACTATTAGGAATCAGGGTTTTGCACACATAAAGTACACAAGTTCTAATTACCCGATTGGATTATATGACCTCTCATTCTCTTCGTAATTTCATTCTTCACGATTCGTCAATTGGCAACATTAAGATTGCTTCAGTAGTTTCCATTTTATAAGCAAAAAAGTAAAAAAGTGCAAATTTTTCTTGAAAATTGTTAATTTTAAGATTATGATTCACAGGTTGGAAAGTGTGCAGAATTCATCTAATAACTGTCCTTGTCACAATCGCACAATCAGTTTCCAGCTAGTTTTTATGTCATGAGATAAGGAAATGCTTTATTGCTTGGTCTAGGTCAGTAGGCTTCAGTTCTTTCATGAGAATACGTTGTAAAAAGCTTCTAGAAATGTCCAATGCTTGAACACGGTGTCAAACTGATGTTCCTGGACTCTTAGCAACACTTTCAGGAACTGCTTCGATATTGAAGGACGGCCAAAATGTTTAAGATTACTAAATGATCCAGTCTCCTTGAATTTTTCAGTTAATCTCTTCACAGTTGAGTAAATTAAATCATTATTCCGACCATATTTTGCATGAAATTTGCAAATTGTAGCTGCCAAATATTTTTAAAAATATTGCTGGACAATGAAAACGTGTTCCATTTCTCCATTTTTAATAATTCTGAACTGGCAGATGTCACGCTGTCTTTTTTTTCGTTGACAACATTTTATCGCACAAATGGCACAGAATTCAAATCTTGCGCGAATTTTGGGATATCCGAAACAATTAGAGTAATTAGAGCTTGTAGATACCTTTCATTTACCTAATTCAATACGTTTTACTAATTTTATTAATTCGCAGCACGTGAAACCAATTTTCGTTTTCACGATTTCAGCAATTTGATTCGCGAGCGAGCGCGGGTACCCTACTCCATAAAAAAAATGTCGACTTAAAAGAAGTCGATACCTATTGCAAAGCCTGCTACATCAAAATTCCAGTCTATTCACGTCACTCCGAGAACGCAAAGACAAAGAAAGAGAATCATATCACAAAGCGGACGCCGTATAAAGGGAAACAGCGTTACATCTCAAATACAGGAAATGTAACCGTAACCGTACTGGGCTGTGTAAAAGGTAAGGAATTTAATCAAGTATGCACTGCATGCGGCAAAAGTGGAATGCAAGACAATGCAGCGGGAGATGGTTGACTGAAGCGTATACGTTCGGCATTGGAAACAATTGAATATGTACATATTGTATATATATCAACTCTACGTCAAATGGAATGAACAGCCAACTAGATTAGTCTGTGAGTCATGGCTTATGACAGTTATTGAATAAGAACGTAGGGATGCGACTTACGGATAAAGCTACTGAATTTAATGATGAAAAAGTTGAAACCTATAAAGCACTTGATCAAACATCATAATGTGATTTTTTTGTACCGAAAATTGTTATTGTTTCTATTTCGTTAGGATCCATAGTTCTTAACACAGAGTTAATTTTAAAATTTTTAATATATATGCGTTTTACAAGAACAGTGAGGTATTTACATATTGTTATCAATATTTAGTGATGAACTATTGACAGCATTGCGTTGAGCATAACCTCCTTGGATTGTTGATATCACATTTAGATTTAGTGATATTGTTATTTGAGTGCAACGTGTTTAAGCGTTAGCAACGACTTATGTGCAATTTTCTGGAACAATGATGCAACGTAAAATTTTGCGTGAAACTGTGGAAAACTTTCACGGAAACGTTTCAACTGTTGAAAAAAGCTTACGGATATCATGCTCTGGGTCGTACGCGCAATGTTATGAACGGTTTTCGCGATTTAAAAGTGGATGTCAGTCAATTGAAGATGATCCTTCACCAGTAAGGCCTTCGCCTTCAACTGGTGACTAGCACGTCCAGAAAGTCAAAGATCTGGTGCATACCTACAAATTGCCGATTGACTGTCAGAGAAAAAGCTGAAGAGGTTAGCATGTCAATTGGGTCATGCTATGAAGTTTTGACTGCGGCGGCTGAGCAGTGGTTTATGCATGATGGCGCTCCATCACATTTCACTGAAAATGTCCGGCATTATCTGAATCAAAGGTTCCCCCGTCGATAGATCGGTAGAGGGAGAATGTTTCTGTTAACTGTACATGTACGTATACCAGACTTAACACCTTGCGACTATTATCTTTGAGGCACTCTGAAAACAATAGTGCATGCTTCCACATCTAACACTGAAGAAGAGTTGTGGAGGCATATCCAAAATACCATAAATGTTTTAGAAAATGGCCCTTAAGAACTGCAAAGGGTGCCATTTAACTTTCTTTGCAGAATTAACTTTTGTTGTAGAAACAGTGGTGGTCATTTTGAACAGTTTTTATTATAAGTTGTACTAAATTTAATAACATCAACTTTGTTACTTTTACCTCCAGCATTTTTTATTCTAAGTAACATGTGGTATATCTTTTTGTAGTAAACACTCATTAAGAATTGGCAGGTACAATGACTTAAAGATCAAACTGAAATTATAGTCAACCTACAAAATCAGTGACTACTAGCACTTTGCTAAGTATTGTAAAATGGGTCGCAAGACAACGTAGACATTTAAAAAATATGTTTTTGTACCAAAATCGCTCACTTAATCAAAATTTTACAAGAGGCCCAAAAACTTCCAAATGGTATCACCTATCAAATAAAAATAGTTGTCATCATTGAAAGAGGAAAAAGTTATGAATGGATATTCTGGCCATACATCAATTTTGTAGGAGTTGTAAGTTTTAAAAAACACTCTATATAACACCAAAATTTGTAGATTGAAAGCAAAAGTCCACAACCAAAAAATAATCACAATCGAATAACACGTATTCGAGTTATTTACAAAATTTAAAAAATTTTCACGAACTTTGAGGCCATCTAGCGGCTAAACGAGGCGATTTCGGATATAGATGAATTAGCCTAAATCTGCCTATTTTGAGTCCACGAATCTGTGGTCTTCCGTTATACACGTTATTCTGGGACACCCTGTATATTATGCATAAGTGACAAACAGATTTAACTGACAAATTTATTTGTTAGTTGGAAAAGTGACCCTCAAACTAATAAATTACGTAACTAAAGGGTAGGTCACCAACTATATAAAATAGATAGACTTACTGGGTGTGAAAATATTTTCAAATGCATAGAGAAAAAGGAATACTTGGAAAATTTACGCAGATACATTTATGGCAGATCAAAGAAGGTTGTGAAGTTCATAATATGAAATATCAGCGTCTAAAATTATTATTATCCGTGGTCAATCAATGTGGGAAAATGGATCCCAAGAACGCTAGTTGTAACTATATAAATCTGATTTGCTAAAAATGTGTAGATACAACTAGTATAGAAGACATTGTAAAAAAGTCCAGTTTCAACAGTTTATCTCAAAGTGGTATATTTTCTTATAAGAACCCTTTAATTGAATTGAATTTTTATGTTAATTATAAGCAAAAAACATCCTGTGTAAATTTCGGCGTTGATATAATTTTGTTGTAAAACCTGTACATTTGTAAATAGTTTTAAAAATAATCCCGTCGGATTATATTCATCCACAGGGTTTTCCAGAAGATTTTCAATCACTTAATTCCATGAAGAGAATGATGAAACAGGTAAAAATAAACGATTTTCATTAGGAAACTTATGGTATAAATAAATAGAAAATAAATTGCCCCGAAAAAGGCAACATTTTAAAAGCTACTGTGGCGTGGGTATAGCAGCAGCACAAAATTTAGGAAAAATCTAAGAACACTTACCGACATATCGTCTCGTAATCGAAGGACCTGCTGGACCTGGTATCTACCAAAACCAAATCGTGTGATTTCGACTGATATTCTTCTAGGGCGGCTACGTCCGAGTTACACGACGTAACTTCGAACCCAAGCTTCTCGGCTGCTCTCGAAAAAGTTTCTCCCACTTGGTCGGGATACGCAAAAACTGTGAGTAACTGAAAATGGAGAAAGAAAACAACATTACAGAGGCTTCATCTGTATCTGAAATTTTTCGTTTTTCTCGTTGTCCAGTTACACGCATACAAAATAAAAAAGTGGTTTGTTCTTTTGATCAGTTCAGTGCAATGCTTTTCAGACCTGTTCAGACCCCGAAGTCGGTTTGGTACCAGCAACCATAATTTTTGAGAAATTGATCTCGAAATTCTCAATTTTTTTTTAATATGATTGTAACGTTGTGGGAGAAACTAGTCCGTATACTGGATTTCATAAGCCTAGTACCATAATTTCGTTGCGGATGAACGCGAATCTGAAGTCAATGTTTGAAGTTTTACAATTGTGACACTTATGATTACCCAAAAAGTTTTCTGTTATATTTTTAAAACTCTGCCATGCAGCCTTCCCAATTCAATACAAAATCTTCATTACGCAACATTTTACAAATTTGAATATTAGTTTCAGTTTAGCATTGCTGATTTTGGAAATTTTATCTCCCAAATATCTATAATATTCTTTTAGTTCAATCAGTTGGAAGTTTTTAGTGATATCCCCAGTATGGATAGGAAGTTCTCTAAGTTATCCGCGATAGGGTTCTCTTCTTCGATTTCATCACCTTCTTCCTCGATTTCGTCGAAGGTTTGTTGAAGAACAGTCTCCGTATCTTCATCTGAATCATGTTTTGTAGATCAACATCCGAATTGTCGCATGTACCTACCATTGCAATTCGCGCAGATAACGGAGCACTTTAGTCCAGCCTTTCTGCATCCACAGGCTCCCCGATATCCTTTTTTACATTTGCAAGAAATTAGTTTTAACAAGATTGCTGGAGCTGGGGGCTCGAGTGCGGTAACAGGAATTAGCCCATTCTTGCTTTTTTTCAATACCCACCGCTCTGCATTTTTTCCAACTCCATACCACTGCTGAACCTGGTGATAGGTTCGGAACGAATGTTGTCGTGCTGCTGCTTCTGTCGGTGGCAGCGATGCAATATTAAATTTATTTATAAAATTTATTAAAGAACCACCGAGATTTAAACGAGCTCGTCCGGGTATTTAAAAACTCAAATACTGACCCGGAAAGCATTACTGAAACTGGAGAACGCTTCCTCCATGCGTTGTACGGTCATTAAACACCTACAAATATACATGCTTCACGAAGTCAGCATTTATAAATAAATTTAATATTGCATCGCTGCCACCGACAAAAGCAACAGCACAACAATATTCGTTCCTATCACCAGGTTCAGCCGTGGAATGGAGTTGGAAAAAATGCAGTGCGGTGGGGATGGAAAAAAGCAAGAATGGGCTAATTCCTGTCACCATACTCGACCCCTCCAGCAAACTTGTTAAAACTAATTTCTTGTAAATGTAAAAACGGATGTCGGGGAGTCTGTGGATGCAGAAGGGCTAGACTAAAGTGCTCCGTTATCTGCGCGAATTGCAATGGTAGGTACCTGCGACAATTCGGATGTTGATCTGCAAGACAGTGATGAAGAGGAAGATAAGGAGACAGTTCTTCAGCAAACCCTTGGACGAAATCGAGGAAGAAGGTGATGAAGTCGGAGAAAAGAACCCTATCGCGGATAACTTGGTACAACTTCCTATCCATGAGGTTTTGCTCAGTTCTAAAGACGAAGAACTCGCAAAACCTGGTCCATCAGGGATAGCGAAGCGAAGGAGAATGTACTAAATTTAGTCAATAGTGCTTCACATGTGGATTAGGCCTATTGGGGATATCACTAAAAAAAAACTCGCCAGGAACTCTACCTCATGGTGGTGTGGAAATAAGTTTGTTGGCCAATACGCCTGTTCGAGTAGAGTTTGCGGCGCTCGTACGCCGAAACTATTAATTTCACAGAAAAAAGGGATAAATTATAGGAAATATCGTCGGAAAGGAAATATCGTCGAAAAACTATTTTGGAGCGCCATTTTTCCAATATGGCGGTTACTTCCGAAAAAAAGAGGTGGCAAAGTAAAAATTCGGAAAGAGCACGTCAAAATCTATACATATACCAATTTTCAAAACTCCCCTAAAACTTCACAGGCAATCCCATTTTTGAGCGCCAACTGATTGGACTATTTGTCCAAAGCCTTAACGATTCAATTCATTAATGATAGGTTTTAACTGTAGTGGAGGAAGCAGAGCTTTGAATGGATCGTGCAAATGTGCTTGAGTAACGTTAAAACATCATGGATTTTGATCTCCTTAGTTATGCCAGTTTGTTTGCTTATGTGGTTCTTTCTATATCTACTGTCCCATAAACACAGAAAACAGAGATACTCAGTAAATCTTGATTGCTGAATACCTTATTTTTTCTAAGCCATATTTTACACTATCACAGCTTTCTTTCAGTTTTGTTGAGTGTGGTATTAGAATTAAAGCATACCTATTACCGTTATGCGGAAGAATTGTCTTCAGACTTCATATAAACGTCCACCCAATCATAACATCTATTCATAAATGTTGTATTTTAACTCGTTTATTATGCCTTTAACGTACATAAAACTTATTTCTCTTCCTGGTTCCTATTTAACGAGTCCAAAAATATGGGGTTTTCCCAGGATATTACAATCCTTATGCATGTCCACAAGCAATCAATTTTTTGAGGATTTGGGGGTCAATTTCTCGACAATGATGGGTGCTGACTTCACATTCGTAATCAACCAATAACAGGGTCTAATAAAAAACAAAACAAAACACTTTTTTGTTTTGTGTGCCTGCGTTATAGATAATGTTTAATGCAAAAATTTCTCACATACAGATTGAATCAAGTTTAATTATTACTGCAAGAATCTTGAATTAAAAAATACGGAAAAGCTTGAACTCTAAAATTTCTGAAAAAACGTTTTCTATAATTTGAATTTTATTTAAATCGTAAAAAAATAAACTTTAACTTTGGTATATTTAGTTCGACTAAAAAAAAATGTTTATCCATTTTAATTCCTTTTTCAGTGGCCTAGAAACTTATGACATGAAAGTTATTTTTCCTCAAATTAATCTGAAAATTTCGTTTTCAATTCGATGAAAGAAGAAAATAAGAAAAATCAAGCTGCTGTTTCCTCCAAAATTACTGATTAAAAAAATAAACTAAACGCCACTGAAATGACGGTTAAAACATTTTTTCGATCGCACCACAAATAAAGTTTAAGTAGAGTTTATAGTTGATTTTTAAGAGCCGGAGCTGGAGCGTAATGACTACATTAGATTTTGTGAAACTAAATAAACGCTATTACAAACGATCGTACAACGACGCTACGTTAAGAAACTTGACGACCTAAAAACGAAATAAGCGTTACTATAAACAATTTTAGAGCCAGAAGTATAAAAGTTATTATATACTACTCTTGAAATTGGAAGCGTTTTATAATTATACATATGACAATATATATATATATATATATATATATATTGTCCTGATTGC